AAGGCTAGGCCAATTAAGAAATCCAGCTAATCGAAAAAGTGTCATAAATTTCATTGAATTGTCAGTAGCAATAAAAACCCAATAAATAATATGAAAATATATAGAAAAAATATTATAAAAAAGAATTGAATTTACTCAAATTCCTATAAAAAAATGTCTTTTTTTATGCAAGTGCCTTCTAAATGCTCGCTTCTTTCTCTTTAGTTAGGAAACTTCAAAAGTTGTAAGGTATGGAAGCACAAGATTAGGATTTGGAAGGGTGGATGTAACGGAAATCCTAGGTTATGATTCAATGATATAAAATGCAAACAAAAAATAGAAAATCCTAGATGAGCTTTAAGTCTTTGGCATGGATAGTTTTGGTAATTGTAGGGTTTGATCCTTGGAAATCTTAGATTGAAATGTCTAGTTATGTTTGGCTTTTTTAAGCTTTTTGCTGGACTTACCAACGTTTTTTCTAGATTTAATTTGTAGATTTGGAGAGGTGTTTTTCCTCAAAAATGGGGTTCTAGGCTTCAAAACATTAAAAAACTCTTATTTGTTTGTAGAAAAATATGTCTAGCGGTTCTGAAGTTTTTCACCAAATTTTGAAAGGCTTAGGTTGATTGAAAATTCAAGAGAACTCTACTAGGTCAGATCTATCTTTCTCCTTGACCGGCCACTTGATGTTGGGATTTGGGTAGAGCTTTGTGGAGATTACTGTAGGAAAAATTATGGTTATGTTTGGTGAAGAAGGACCAAGAATCCCACAACATGAACTTAGTTTTTAGCTTCAAGAGAACAAAACAAAATTATAAGTAAAACTAATACCCATTAAATTAATTTTGTCATGAAAATCACTAAATCTCCATATTCATGGGTTGTCCACCAAGATTTCAGTTCTAGGATGAAAAATTTTAGTTTTTTTTTTGAGTAAAAAATCTCTATCATTAATCAAAATTAGAAATAAGCAGTCTCATATAAAATCCTTAAGAAAATTATGAGAAGGAAAAGAGGGGGGAGAGGTGGCTTCTTTTGAAAGGAGGGCAGGTTTACTGACCTCTAAGGACTTAGTAACCCTACTAAAATCATAGAGAAAATAATTAATCGCACAAGCATGTTATTAATTATTTCCCTAATGATTTTTTGTAAATTTTCCCCATCATTTAAAAGTTTAAATTTATTTGAAATTTTATTTTTTTAATTCTTTTCATCTAACTTTGTAGCAAAAAAACAGAACATAATCTTAATAGCTGCCTCTCATTTTGATTTTCTAATGTTATACCAATTTTTGCATGAATATTGAGATATTTTTTTCGTAGCCCTCAGATCAATTAGGAATCAGTAAGATTAAATCATGATTCTAGCCTCTGTTGATCAACTAGGCTGACATTATTATTTTGATCACAAATTTGAATGGGTTTTATGATGGCTACCTAGAGATTTGTTGGAACCTGGTGTTGCTTTGGGATCATTTGAGGGCCCTAAGTATATTTATGCACTTTTTGGTGCAGTAACATGATCATTAATGCACCAACTCATGTGAGGTCTTTGTGCATTTTTTTTAGATATTAGTGAGGTTCATATTGATCTTTTGGACTTTAGTTATCTCTAAGATAATCTTTATACTTGAGCACACCTTCCAAAGCAAATATATAATTGTCATGTTTGTATTTTTGATGTGGCAATATAATTGAGTTGACTTAAAGATGACTATTGGGTTGATGTTGGAATTTTTGAAATTCAAGTGTGATTATGGAAATTTTATAATTAGTGATATATTTGATTTAAATTTGTTAATTTTTTTTTGGCTTCTTTTTCTTTTTATTCTGTTTAGATGCCAAACTAGTCACAAGCGTAAGCATTTGTTTAGTTTGTTTTTGTTCTTGCTTGTTTTGATAGGATGACAATGCATCATCTACCTCTAGTTAGAGTTAATGGGGGTATATAAGCAATGTTGAAGCTTTATGGGGGGCGTACATACGACTCGCTAATGACAACAAAGTTATCACCAGATTTTTGTGAAGTATATCTGCTGAAGATGAGAATTCGTCTCCTTGAATTTGAATAAAAAATCAACGAAAGGATGTATTACTCTAGCTGGCTTGGTGATCAATAACTTGAATGTCTTAAAAATATATAGCTAGTTTAAAGATCAATGATGTGGACGTCAAATGAAACTGAGTGAAGATCAGCAGTTCTTCTAATGTTTGAATTGTATTTTGTTTAATTTAAATTTTGGGAGGAATCATTCCGGTAACGTAGTTCCTTTCTTGCTTGTGTTTTGATAACATTTTGTTTACATGTGGTTAGAGGCGTTGTTATGGCAGCATCATGGTTATTTTGATCATGTTAAAGCCATTTGACGGCTTTATCTTTCTCTGTCTAATGAAAATGAGGTTACCATTATGTTTTGGTTAGGTGTAGCTAGCAAAAATGAAAATTCATCTTCTTCAAATCAGATCAAAGTTTTGTGAAGGGAGGAAAATACTATTTTGATAAAAAATCAACCATATGCATGTTTTCAAGCTACAGCCAGATTGAAGAACAATGCCACAAATGAGTTTAAAATTTGATCTTTATTCTAGATGAATGGCTCCTCATATTCACTGGATCAAAATTCAACTGCACTTCAAATTGATTAGACTGAAGATCAATGATTCTTCAAAGTTTAGATCTTTGCTCTTAGACACACAAGGAAATCATAAAGCATAGGGTCGCCAAGTGTTAGGTTGTCAGATTTGTTTAAATCGAGTTCAGTGGCACTGCTTGAGTAGGGTACTAATTGTTCAGGAAGATAAGTATGAGAGCTAGTGAGAGGGGGATGCATACCAGTGTCATATGAGCTTTTGAAGGGGATTTTGAAGTAGTCGGGTGCATGGGAGGAAACTAATAATGAGAGATGGCGAGGTTTCAAATTTGAGATAGGGTAATTGGGTGAGAATGGTGTAGGATTCATGAGAGGCAGAGAACAAGAGAGTGAAGCTGAGATTGGGAAATGAGAGTAGAGAGTGAATCACCTGTGGGCTAGGAGTGCAGCATGTTTGCTAGGAAGAGCATAAAAGTCACAAAGCACATTCCAGTGGGAGGCGGGGAATCAAGAAGCATTGCATCATCACTATTGGGTTTAGAACGTAGCAAGTTCACGAGGGAGAGAGCGCGAGAGAAGCAAACATGTGTGGGTGAGAGAGAGAGAGAGAGAGAGAGAGAGAGAGAGAGAGAGAGAGAGAGAGAGAGACCCAATCCACAAAATAAATATAATATTATTGCTGAAATCCAAATAGGTTGCAAAGCCCACTCTTCAAAATAGAAAATAAATGATAACAAGCCTAACGAGATACCCTTGGGTGACGAAGAAAGGGTGGGTGGCTGCTGGCTAGCAAGTAGGTGTGCCGGTAAGAGGTGGTGGTGACAGTCGGGTGTTTTGAAGATGGTTTTGGCTGCAAGGGGAAGGCACATGAATGGTTAGAGTGGCTATTAGGGCACTGGAATTGCGGAAAGGAGTGGAGGGCTGGGAAGACATCTGGAGATGTGGCAACAACAGACGGTTGATGACGAGGAAAGGTTGGCTGACCTTGGGGTAGGTAATGGGAAAGGAAGCTGCCTTTGGTAGGTACGATTGGGTTTGACGAGAACGGCGTCAGGACGGGCTGGCGGGTAGGGTGACAATCTTAAAAGGGCAGGGAGGATTGGGCGACATAGCAATATGGTAGCAGAGGGGATTGCGGTGGCTGTCTGGTAGGTTGGACGGTTTGATTGCTGGGAAACTGGGAAGGGGAGGGAGGCTGGGTGATGGCAACAAGGAGATAAGGGGAATATGGAGGGATACACACCACCTTGGAACGAGTTGCAACCGAAGCACCTTTTTGCATTCTGATACAACCCTAGAAGAGAAAATCAGACGCCGACTGCCATCTTGATAGAATCATCTAGTAAAAATTATCCCTAAATAAAAAATAACATTTATTGGACGACAACCCTAACCAAAACAACTGGGCTGGCCAACCTCTCTTTCCTCCCTTTTCGAATCGGTTTAGTGGTTCAACCACCTGTTAAGGAGAGCCCCGCTTCAGAGAGAGAGAGAGAGAGAGAGAGAGAGAGAGAGAGAGAGAGAAAGCATGTTATGGCTAGGAATGAAGTGGATGATGCAAGAGAGACGTAGTGAAAGATGTTTGAGATGGGTTCCTAGTGTGCTAGAGAGAGAATGGGCAAACAAGCGTTTTAAGAGCTGTCAAAATCGTGCTACTAGCAGATCATGGGCTTGAACAGGAGCTTGCTAGATGTGGAGATGTGCATTGGGATTCTATGGTTTGTATTGGGTGTTTGTTATTATTATTATTATTTTTATCATTTTGTTTTTGTGTGGTAAGCATCGATGGTGGAAAAGATAGTTGAAATGAGTGAAATAAAATAAATATCTTTTTAAAAGGAACTTATAGGAATTACTTAAGAAAGTTGACACTACAATGTAAATTATGATCTATTCCAATATCTTAGATGGTTTCTCCTTAATTCAAGTAATTATTGTAATTATTTTTTGAGTTGCTGACTACGGTTTGCGCTCCGCCAGCACTAGTACGAGTATTATGGTATTCATAAAGAATTGCATTGATTCTTCTTTGTTATCTTGGAGAGGATTTCTTCAATGTAGTCTTGAAGCTTATTCCACACTCATTTGCCCTTAGGTTTGCTGCTTGGATTCCGAATTTTTAATGTTTTCTCTAGCTTGCATAAATAACCATTATTAGAACTTGTTGGATTCCTTTCTTTGGTCTTACATTTAATAATTATCTCTCATTCTTGCTTTTCCTAATGATTTGAATTTTGGATTACTTTCAGGGGCTTCAGACATAGTGCACATTTCTTATGCCATAATAATGTCTTTAGATAGGCTTGTCTTTATCTGAAAATCATTATATGCTTTTACTCATCAGATTTTCTTCGATTTCGTTGTTTTCCTGCAGTTATTATATTTTATCCGTTATTTCTTACTGTAATTGGTGATTACATGGCTCTACCAGGAAAATGTTAAAACAAAACATCCTCAGTTGCTATATGAATCGAAGTTGTACAGGATCCTGCAAGGAGGAAGTAATTGAGTTTATTTTAAACTATTTTCTTTAATGCCTGATATTTGAAATCATTTTAGCATATTTTGAAAATTTGCCGTCTTTCTGTCTGATCCTGCAGCTGGGATTCCTAATGTGAGATGGTTTGGTGTTGAAGGAGACTACAATGTGCTCGTGATGGATTTATTAGGACCAAGCCTTGAAGATCTTTTTAACTTTTGTAGTAGGAAGCTGTCTTTAAAAACTGTTCTAATGCTTGCAGACCAGATGGTGTTTTTCAGACTATTTTAATTTAACCTGCTTATTCTAATCTTTTCTGTTATTTGACCACTTATTTTGTTTTATCAGATCAACCGAGTTGAATTTGTTCATTCTAAATCTTTTTTGCATCGAGACATCAAACCTGATAATTTTCTTATGGGTCTGGGCAGGAGAGCTAACCAGGTTAGTCATCCCAAATAGTTAATGTAGCAGAATTTCCTCTACTATATGATTGAAGTTATTTCTAGTAATTATTCATATAGGTTTATATCATTGATTTTGGCCTTGCAAAGAAGTATAGAGACACTTCAACCCACCAGCATATTCCATACAGGTGAATTCTGTTAGAAGATCAGAATATGATTTATTATTTTTTTTTTTGTTTCTCATTTTCTCGTGAATTGCATTAATTGCATAAATTTTTTGATCATTACCACCATTTTCCATTCCTTCTTTATAATGTTTTCATATATTTCTTCTTTTATATTCGAGTTTCATCAATTTAGAAAACGGAGAATCTTCTTGGTGTTGTATTTATATCAACCGAACTTTTTTTCTTTGGCAGTTGAACTGATGCAGTGTTTTTAGTGTTGCTTTACAATTTTATGCGTTGAGCATAGGCTAGACTCATGATGAATGAAAGTTGTCTTAATGTTTTATGAAAGCTTATGGATATCTGAGCTTTACTTTACGCACCACGGACATTATTCACATTATTATTTCGATGTGTATAATATTAATTGATCTGTCATGATACTTTTTTTTTTTGGTGGTGGCAAAAGGAAATGGGATACTACAAAACTTCTCTTTTTAAGTGATTGTCTTTTATAGAATAATGGAGTGATATGAATCATTAGGTATATTATGGAATGTATGGCTTCTATCTTCTATAGGGTCTTAAAATGCTGCGAAGGCACTTTTTTGCTAAATTACTTTATTTATTGTTGGCAATGATGGAATGTTGCTTGTGATAGTTTACAATTGTCTTAGGCGGTTTGATCTAGATTTTGAACCTCCTAGGTTGTACTTCTAAAATAGCTTTACGCAATGGAATGCTCTTTTGAAACTTACTCCACCCAATAAATTTCAAATACATAAGTTAACAAATAAAACATAAATAATTTTTATTCATAACCGAGCGTCTGCTTGGGTTGTGTTAGAAAATAACTGTTTTGAAGCTATTTCTAGATAAATGACTTTTCTACTCATGTGCAGTAATGTTGTTTGCAACAGAAATGTCGTGATAATATATTTGATACTTGAGAAACAAAAATTCACTTCAGAATAATACAAAAAATAAAATATACATCTCACTTAACAGTGAATATCATGATTATTAAAATAAAGAAAGAGACTATTAAAATAACATTTAATTAATATGATAATATTAAATTTAAAGTGGAGATTGCGTATGTCAGTAGCTAGGCCATCCTCTGCACACCACAACCCATAACAGAGCCACCACAACCCACAATAGAGCCACCACAACCCAGAGCCATCAACCCAACTCAATACCAACCACACCACAACCACACGACCACAATAAATCCACCTGCACCACAACACAAGCCAGAGCTACCACACAACCCAACTACCCCCACCCTAACCCATAGCTTACTACCACCACCGCAACGCTCAACCACCACATAACCACACAACACACATCACAAGCCAGAGCCACCACACAACCACAACACCCTAACCCACATGAGAACACAACCACATGACCATCACAATACAATCAATCTTCATAACCCCACATAACACCCACATATAGGGTCTGAATTTACACAATAGAACAACCATAAGCCAAAGCCATCACCCCAACCCAATATTAACTACCACAACCACACAACTTGAATAAGTATCCAACATCATACATGCTACTTACTTTATAGTTGGTAGGTATTGTGAAATACATCACTTACAGAGAAGGTTAAAAACTCAGATAGTGTTGGGAGTAAAAAGGAATCCTATATGGTAGTGAAAAACAAAAATATTTTCTTATATAGTTTCATGGAGTTCTATGCAATTATTTTATGGTAATGTTTTAGAGTTTATTGGATCTTCCTAAAAGAACTTAAAACTTCCCTCACTTCATGCTTGATCGAGAAACTCTCGTCTCCTAAAAAAATCTAGAAAATTCACATCAAGTCAAGTTCTCATTGGGCATGACAATTGATAGAAAAACCAAAAGATTCAAGACAATGGGCACCGCTAAAGGAGCCCGTAATCACTATACCCTAAATTCAATTGGCGAATCTAACTAGTTTCACTCTATTTCTGTAACCAAGCCACTCTTCTTGCATTTAATCGTGCTTCCACTCTAAAATAATCAACCTCAACCATCCACACCAATGCAAAACCCAAAAACCAGCAAGAGAAAGGCCACACCAATGCAAAATTGCAAGAGAAGATTCAATTGCAAAACTGCAAAACCAGCAAGAGAAGAACCAGTCGCAAGATCATAATGTCAGAGACAAGTTCGAATTCCATACCACAGAGAAGTCCGGTCGCGAGAAGGGGTAGGGAGAAGCTGCCGCGGTCGTGAGAGAAGAGAGAGAAGATTTGGTCGCGAGAGAGGGCTCGGGGGCGAGAGAAGGGTAGGGTAGTAAAAAAACACAGCGTTGAATAATAGGAAATATTGATCGTGGGATCAAACCTGTGGCCTGCGTTCCGTTGAAATTATCCTCAACGCCCCCAAAATGCGACATCCAAACAAGCAAAAAAAAAATTGTGTTGCTTGGGGTTACAATGCTAAAGTCAAATTTTGACTCATATCCCCAACACAGATTCCAAAAATATAATATTCAAAATTTGTTATGAGATAGGTTGATCAATCATGCAAACATACGTTTCTATCAAGTAATATACAGATAAATAGTTCGCGTATCGATCCCACAAGGATGGTTGTCAAAATATTTTTAACAAGGGAGAAGTTTTAATGTATTTCACCACTGAATCTAATTTGAAATGATCTAAACGCAAGAAGGAAAGTTCTAAAAATCCTAAAAGAGCATTAAACATAAATAACAATAAACAAAAATGACAGTAGTAGAGCAGATAGATAACAATTTTGAGTTCTTCAGAGGCGATGAAGCTCATGCTCATGTGACATCGGTATCTCTCTATATGTTTTCCTATGAATTCCTCTACGTAATAGTTGACAAACAGTGACAATCCATTTTAGCCTATCTCTAGGTCATAATAAAGGCTTACACTTAAGAGGAACTTAACAATGCAGTATTTTTAAGGATTTCTCGAGTCTCCTGTTGAAGTTATATTTTTCTAATGACATGTCTATTCCACTAGGCTATTGTGTGTTAATTTACTTGTTTCACTAGACGATGGTCAGAAGTCCTATATCAAAAAAACATTAGCATCCTAGTTGATTAGATTATAAGTAAATGACGATCACAAGTTTAACACATGAACATATGAAAATTAAAGGTATGAAATATATATATATATATATATATATATATATATACTTTTTTATTTATTTTTTATTTTTATTATTATTATTTTTATTATTATTATTATTTTTTGGGAAAGAGCATCGGTGGCTCCCTAAGCGTTAATAATTAAAATAAGATACAAGGTTTGGGGGGAGGGTCCCCATCTAGAAAACACAAAAAGAAATACATTAGACTCACCCCTAGGGGTCCCTCTTCCCCAAGTACAACTCACACAAAAATAGCTTTCAAAATACAAGTATACCCAAAAAACCCGAAAAAGAGCCAAAATAAAAAGGTAGTCCTCTGTGCTTTTATATCATGGAAATATTTGAAGGAAGACAAAAAGAAAAGGTCATGAACAGGAGGCGTCCTCTATGCCGCGTCCAAGAGCAAGGTCTCCATCCCAGCCTTTGTCTTCGAAAAGAGATCCCCCTGCAAAACATTGCAAAACCAGCCAAGCCAACCAACAAGCCAATAAAATGAGAGAAAAACAACAAAGTCTAGCCAAGCCGAAAATTTAGGGAGATTTAAAGTATCTCCAATGATGAGTCTCCGAAGATGGGCAGTGGGATGTGTGCCAACGTGACAAGTCTCCCCTGCATTTTTAGCAAGCCAATCCGTAGGGATTCGCAGGAGAGTTGCCCGCTCTATGAATAAACTTCCATCTAGCCTCAAGATGTTTATCAGCTATAAGGATTATTATTCTTTTAAAAATACCAATTAAATCCCAAAGAGGAGAGGTAGTACCAACCAAAATATCATAAAGTATTTTTGAATCCATCTCCACCTCCAGCTTACGAAAATTAAAGATGTTGGCCACCACTAGAGCCAAAAAGACTCCCCAACATTCAACAGCCAAAGAAGTTTCGGCAATAACAGAGAAGGCATTTCTCCTCAAAATTTCTAAAAAGACCCCCAACCGCAGCATAATTAGCACGCCAACAGCCATCAACATTTAATTTCACATAATTAGCATGCGGGGGGGCCCACACAATAAGCGTAGGGGCCTTAGTGGTTTTATCCACGGAGGTGCTGGCTCTTAAAGCTTTATTGTAATAGGCAATGACATGTGCAACAACCATAGTAATAGAGGGGGGAGAGGTGTGGTATTTAAAACTATTTCTGGAGTTCCAAAGGAACCACAGAACCAATAATGGGAGGGGAAACCTCCCCATAAAGGCATCAAAATCCTTCCACTGCCATAAATAACTAGCTAAAGATCCTCTATGGGTCCAAGAGAAACCAAAATGAACGCCTATTTTATCCCAGAGCTCCAACGAGAAAACACACTCAAAGAAAGTGTGTTATATCCTCCTTTTTCATTCTACACATAGGACATCTAGAGACTAATTTCAAGCCCTTAAGCTTAAGAATGTCATCCAATGGGATTAACGACATAAGATAACGCCATAGAAAAAATGATATAGAGGGAGATAAATATTAATGCCAAATCCATTTCCCCCATATCCAGTCACGATGTGAGTGTAGAGTGCCATAAATGAGCTTGCAAATTGATATAAAGTTACTTCTTTTCCACATGGGGAGATCTCTATAAGGAGTGATGGGGATTGTGAGTATATGCTTTGCATTTTGTTCCCCAACCATAGAACATAATTTAGAAAAGTCCCAAACCTCATTATCAAAAAAAATCAGAGACCAATAGAGAGTTAGAAAGAGGGGAGTGAGATAAGCCAGAAATGTGAGAAACACCTCAATTTTCATTCTAGAAGGAAATGTTTCCCTCTCCAATATCCCAAAAAATGAAACCATTTGCCGTGTCTCTAGCATTCACCACAGCTTTCCAAATACGAGAATCTCCAACCTTCCAAGAGACCAAGGAAGGATGAATATTAGCACAATATTTTAGCCTCATAAA